CCCTAATATCAACTAAAAAACATGTAGTGGGTTATTTTTTTCCACAAAATTATTTCCTTCTCCTTTCTTGTAAGAAAGTAATATACTCTGCCCTATAATCTTCATACCTGGCTAAACTGCTCTGACGTATATAAGTGTGGACAGAAGACACACACCACCCAGTGCAGAAGACTTTCTTTTTTTTTTCCAGAACTGGAGGTTGAACCCAGCACCTTCACACTGAACTACACCCAGAGCCTTTTTTTATGGTTTATTTATTCTTAGTTTTGAATATTTATTTATTTATTGGTTTTTTGAGACAGGGTTTCACTATGTAGTTTAGACTGGCTTTGAACTCACTATGTAGCTCAGGCTGGCCTTGAACTCAAGGTGATCTTCCTGCCTCAGCCTCCCAAGTGCTGGGATTACAGGCGTGCGCCACCACGCCTGGCTCCCCAGCCCTTTTTTAAAGTTGTAAATTTTAAAATTTTGAGGTACGGTCTCAGTCATTTGCTAAGTGGTCCAGGCTGGGCTTAAACTTATGATCCTCCTGCCTCAGCCTTCTAGAGGGTTGAGATTCCAAGCATGTGCCACCATGCGTGGCTTCACTGCAGAAGCTTTTCAAATCTCTTTATCCATTTTGAAATAAGAAGATGCACTGCGGTGCAAGGTGAGCAAAGTCAGGCTAGTCAGGCTCTCCCTTTTAATTGTATGTTTTTCTCTTTGTAATTAGCAAATAATCAATAGTACAATGTCACAACATTTGGGGAATGTCTTGTTTCTCATAAATCTTGAACATAATGGCTATAGTAGCCATTAGTGATCCTTGCTTGAGTCCATTATCCTATAAATGTTTACAGAAAGCTTACTTTCTAAGCCTGCCATTCTGTATTTTAAAACAGACAGCACTGTTTTGTAAAAACTTTCTCTCATCAGCTGGGGTTGAACTGTATATATTCTATATGAAAAGGCAAGGCAAATGCTTAATCCTTTCCCTATAATAACCAACTTTCAGAGCAAGAGGTTAGGGTAATAACCAACTCCAAATGCAATTGCAGCACATGAGCTCCTGCTTTCTCTGAGTGTTGTTATGGAGTGGTGCTTATTTATTTACTTTTTATTTACTCAATGTATTATTGTGTGTGTGTGTGTTGTGTTGTGTTGTGTTGTTTTGTTTTTGTGTTACTGAGGATGGAACCCATTGCCTTAGCACTGAGCTACGTGGCCAGCCCTTGTTTTAAAATTAGTTTTTGAGCCTGAGTGTGGTGGCACATGCCTGTAATCCCAGCACTCAGGAGGCAGGAGGATTGCCATGAGTTTGAGGCTAGCCTGGGCTACATAGTGATTTCAAGACCAGCTTGAAATACAAAGTGATAGTCTGTCTCAAAAATATATATATTTTTTGAGACACAGTCTCACTGAGTCACCAGGTTGCCCAAACTGGGCTTGAATCTTCTTTTTTGAACTGAGAATCAAACTCAGGACCTCGCCTTGCCAGGCAGGCGTCATGCCACTGAGCTATACTCTAGGCCCAGGGCTTTAATTTTCAGTTCTCCTTTGTTAGCCTCCCAGAGTGCTAAGATTACAGGCTTTGCCACAGTGCCCGGCTAGTTACTCTTATTGACGCTCAAATTATCTCAAATCTAGCCAATGGGAGCCTCCCCAAGTTGGCTTATCTTCCGACAGCCCCTCATTACGCTCAGCATTTACTTTCTCACTGGCACAATATGATGTCTCCAGCTCACCTGTAATTTTTGTGACAGAGCTTGAAGCTAAACATTTCTCTAAGGCATGTATTTAGTGGAGAATAGTATTTAGAAATTAAGAACTGGGTGCTTATTGCATTAAGAGTGTCATTTCTTCTCTGTCCAAAAGACAAACCTGGAAAATACATTTTTAAAACTCAGGAGTTCATGCTGATAGGTAAAATTTAAAATTTACTTGATGGTCCATCCTAATGGCACATGCATGTAGTCCCAGCTACTCAGGAGGCTAAGGCTGGGGGATCACCCAGGCAGCATAGCAAGACCCTGTCTCAAAAAAAAAAAAAAAGCAAATACAGTGCATCCTTGACTCACAAACTCATTTCATTCTCAAGGGCTGGTGGTAAGTCAAGTTGGTTGTAAGTCAAGACTATTTTTCCCATAAGAAATAATGGAAATAGCGATAATGCATTCCAAAGCTAGCAAAGTACCCCTTAACTAAACTTTTCATAATACAAAAGGGTTGCATGATGTGCATAATTTACCAGAAACATCATAATTTTCTTAGTGTATTCACCAAAAAGTTATAAAATGTGCTTAGCTTACCAGAAACAATTTCATTCTGTACTTACCATTCAAGATGACATCTTTGGCTTGCAGGGAGGATGAAATGGAAGGTGCTTACTGTTTGGAAGGAGAGTCTCCTTCTGTAAGAACATCAGGAATATGGCTCTCTGCTGTCCTTTCTCTCCCTGGGAGAGTCTGTAGCCCACTAGGCCCCCCTTCTGGCTTACCAGGTGTCAGCCTTTTCAGAAGTAAAACCTGGTCTGATGCTGTTTCTGTCTTTAACACCGTTCTGCAGTACGACATGACATTATCATCAAGCAAGTAGATGCCATGATTGGTTTTTTTCCTCTGTCTGGGTGGGGCTTCTCTATAAACATTTATAGCTCTGTCTATTTCCTTTATTTCCAAAGAGGAACTTTGCTGCACTGATTGTTGATACTCCCCTTCCTCTTCAGAAAGTTCCTCAGCTGTCATTCTCTGTTGCTCAGCCAGAAGTTGCTGAAGCTCCTCTGTAGACAATTCCTGAGTGCTCCTCCACCAGCTCCTCGACATCACCATTGTCTTCCTGCAAGCTTATGGACCCTGCTGTAGTGACAATGTAATCAACTACAAGGCCAAATGAAGGCTCAGGCTCCTCTGCACAGCCTTCAAAGTCTCTCTTCTGTATAATTTTAGGCCATATTTTCCCCCAGGCAGATCTCAGTGCCCTGAGAGAGGCATTGTTCCAGAACATCTCAATTAACCCCACACAGGAAAGGATGTTGTAATGTTCCTTCAGAACTCTTAATGGGTTAAATATGTATCTGAGACCATCTGGAAGCACTTTAGGAACAGTTCCTTGGTGTACAGCTTCTTAAAGTTAGCTATTACCTGTTGGTTCACAGGCTGCAGTAGAGCAGTTGTATTAAGCGGGAGGAACTCAACCAAGAGCCATGAGAATTCTTCAGCCAATTCTTCTTCCGAATCTCATGCGGGAGCGGGAGCATTGTCCATGATGAAGAGCCTTGAGTGGTAAACCTATGTCCTCTAGATATTTCTTTTTTTTTTTTTTTTTTTTTTTTTTTTTTTTTTTTTTTTTTGGTTTTTGGTTTTTTTCCGGTACTGGGAACCGAACTCACGACCTTGCGCTTGCCAGGCAGGCGCTTTTGCCGCTGAGCTAAATCCCCAGCCCCGATATTTCTTAACAGTAGCACAGAAGCCTCCCTGGTCCACTCAAAAAAAGTACTCTTGTTTCCCAAGTTTTGCATTAGATCTCCACATGACCCCAACCTGTTCTTCATGACTTTATGTTACGTCTTAACACTCTAAAGGTCTCAGAGTGATAAACCAAGAGAGGCTTTATCTTGAGGTTGCCACTCCCACAGTCACATAGCAATAAATAAGGTTACCTATCCTTCGTAGGCTTGTGGCTTGGCATTTTCTTCTCTTGCTGGGTAATGTATGTTCTCCAGGGCATTTTCTTCCAAAAGGATCCAGTTTCACTACAGTTGAAAACTTGATGAGAACAAAAGCCATTTCTCTGTGTCATCATTTCAAAGTGGTACATATAATTTTCAGCAGCCTTTTATCAGCACTGGCTGCTTCACCATGCCTAGTTACACTATGAACACCAATTCTCACTTTAAAATGGTGAAACCACCCCTTATTTCACAAATGTTTCACCATTGTCACTCACTGATGGATTATCCTTTATGAGAACTGCATTTATACCCCTAGATTTTTCCACAAATTATAGGCTCAGATAGGCTATAACCTGTCATCTGCCTTTCCTTTATCCACATTAGTAGCCTTTCTATCTCATCTAATACTGTTGATTGTGACTTACTAATTTGAGTAACAACTTTAGCAACACTCACTTCCTTATGCAAATCCTTTAAGATTGTTGAGACGGCAGATTTTGACACGCTTCACCTATCAGCGAGATCATCACACAAGCACCGCTCTCATATTTCTCCACAGTTTGCTGCTTCTTTTTGATTGATTCCTTTCTTTACCTTCCCTTCCTTCTTTAGCTTCTTTTCTAGCTTTTTGGGGGCCATTTTGATAGTAGTAATTGTAGCGATTATAAAAAGGCTGACCAACATCATGTCCAAAGACACATGCATCTGGGCTCGGACTGATGCTTATGTATGCTTACATATGCTTTTCTGGCATTGTGAGTTTTTGTTTACAACTGTACAAGCAACCGGCATTTGGGTGGTAACTCAAGACTTTGGTTGTAAGTTAAACCTAAAATTCTGGTCTTATCCCAAACTACTGGTATGTGAGGCTGGTCATAATTCAAGGGTCCATGGTAAATAAAGCATCTAATGAGTGCAGGGTTCCTAGAGGAGATAGGATTTGATTGTCTCCTAGTTAGCTTGGAGAGAAGAGGTTGAAGAAGCCAGTGACAATAGTAATTTAAAGCTGACTTCAACAAGAAAGGAAGGATGGCATTTACGACTCTGTGGATATACCAGAAATGACCTAAAGTATGTGAAGTTAGGAGCTGATCACTGTTCACCACATACCTGCCATATTGTTTACTGTATTTTTCGAGAATTAAAAAAAGTAGGTAATCAATTCTAAATTCTAAGCCATATCAGAATTGTACAGTTACCACTTTATACTAGCAATAAATCAGTGTATCGTTCCCTATAATGGTGGAACATACTATACCCATAAATTGTAATATTAAAGGTCTATTTTTGTTAGAATTTGCACTTTGTACTAATCAATGACATTAGAAAATAATCCAGCGCTTTGGAAAAAAATTGGACAAGCGAAAGATTTTGATCTTACATATTCCCGGTTTCAATTTATATATACACAGAGAAAAGAGCCTGGAAGGAATCAGGAAAACACTTAATTCGGTATATCCATGTTTTCTACAATGAGTTAAGCCTATTTAGAAAGGGCAAAAAAATCTGCTTTCAAACTTGGTCAGAAAAGAAAGTTTAAAAGCCCTGAGAGTGACTCTCTGAAGAACAGGCGAAGAAAGGAGAGCTGGTTTGATAGTATGAAGGAAAAAATGGTCCCTCTTTTTGTTTTAAAAATCACCAAGCCAGATAAGAAAAAGCCAGAGAGATGAGGACCTACGCTACGGCTAGAGAGGCCAAGAGAAGCAGGAAGTTCCTGGGCGGGGCGACCCAGTCCTCTCCCTTCCGGGCTGCATGTGGGCTCCCAGCTCCTTTAAGGTTCGGTACTGCTTGTACCCTGCTTCCCTCGCTCTGAGACGGTGTCTGAGATTGGGAGTGCTCATGGCAAAGAGCAAGTTTGAGTACGTGCGGAACTTCGAGGCTGACGACACCTGCCTACCTCACTGCTGGGTGGTAGTGAGGCTGGATGGCAGGAATTTCCATCGGTGAGCTTGCACGGCGGGGCACCACGTGATGCGCTGGCGCTTCCGGGTTCCGACGCTTTTGCTCAGTCTCCCGTGGTTACCCAAGTAACAAGACAGCCAATGAGCGCTCGGCATTGAGCGTCCCACTGCCGGCTGCCTGGCTGCGCCTGGGCTTGCATGCCAGATGGTCAGGGTAATTAAACTCGGCAGTGTGCTCCCCTGGTGAGGAGCTAACTGAAGGGCCCCATGTAAATGAGCAGGGCCCGGACTACAAGCTCTGGGATCGATAGAGGATGAGGAGGGCAGGGAGAATCACTTTCCGGTGCAATACTTCAGCTTCGTTATTCTGTTAGTATCTTTGCGTGTTGTTTAAAGGTCTGTGTAGGCCTTGCGATGAGCAACAACTTACAGAACGCCCTCGTTTCATTGCCAGTAACAGGCCACATGGAAAGGATTCTAGAAAAATAACAAAAACGGGAATTTAATTTTTTAAAGGGCTACTACTAATAACCATGGTAACATTTATTGAGCACCTAATAGGAACCAGGCATAATTACATTTTTTTTTCAATCTTCCCTTAGTCTTCAGGACGACCTAATGAGGTAAATGTGTCCCCAGTTCACAGAAAAAGAACTTGAGGTGTAGCAAGTATGTCCCTTAAGAATAAGAGTTAGAGTTAGAAACTACAGTTCTTAAGGAAATGGATTAGGTTGTAGCTCGTGGTGGCACTGTTACGATGTCTTCCTCTGAGAATCACCTCCGTGGCCTGTGTTGCTGACACTTCTATCCCCACCCTTTTCCCTCTTCTCGTCCTGTGAAGGTTTGCTGAGAAGCACAACTTTGCAAAACCTAACGATAGCCGCGCGCTCCACCTGATGACCAAAAGCGCTCAGACTGTCATGGAGGAACTGGAAGACATTGTGATTGCATATGGACAGAGTGATGAGTACAGCTTTGTGTTCAAGCCGAAGAGCAACTGGTTTAAAAGAAGAGCCAGGTAGTCCTAGAGCCTGCTTCCTTCCTAAAGAGTATTTCCTACCAACATCTGCATTTCTGTGTTGGCTTACAGACTACAGATGATGTCTGCAGTATTTGAAACTGCAGAGCGAATGTGTATTTCCTGGTCGGACTGTGCTTGCATCTCACACCTGAGCATTCTGTGCACTTCCTTTTATCTCATTCTTGTCCTTCCGTGCCTCATTAGCTTAGCTTCCAGACTGACCTGGCATTGAGCCTTCAGAATAGAAACAAACCATAAAAATGTAATATTAATGACTCATACGTGGGCTTTAGCCAATGTCAGTCACTACCTTCACTGCAATATTATTTAAACTTCTACTGAAAGAAGATCTCAGTATGAAGTGGAGAAATCTGATGTTTAATTTGGCTTTTTTTTTTAATTCTTTTTTTTTTTTTTTTTTTTTCCGGTACCGGGAATTGAACTCATGACCTTGCACTTGCCAGGCAGGCCCTGTGCCGCTGAGCTAAATCCCCAGCCCCTGAAATTCTTAATAGGACGCGAAGATATATTAGTGTGTTTTTTAATGCAGTGTTTCCCTCCTTCCAAGACTAGCGACAATACAAAAAACAAAACAGAAAATTCTTGAACCGTAAATTTACATCACATCCTACAGAGAAAACTTAGGTGTTCGCAAGTAACGAGATGGGAATGTTAAAATGTATATAACCAGATATTAAAATAGTTTTTTAGCCAAATGTATTTTATCCCTAGATTTTGTGGGAAGTTTGTGTAACCTCTCTGTGGTATTGAACCTATCAAGGTGTTGAATTAATATCATACATTTTCTCTTCTCTTATTCCTCCCGTGCACTTTATGTTTGCAAGTAAGTTCATGACTCACGTGGCCTCCCAGTTCGCCTCCAGCTACGTGTTTTACTGGCGGGATTATTTTGAGGCTCAGCCCCTTCTGTATCCTCCAGGCTTTGACGGGAGAGTTGTGTTGTATCCTAGCAACCAGACCTTGAAGGACTACCTCAGCTGGCGGCAAGCAGATTGTAAGTGGCACCAAATAAACAGATTTGAACCCCAAATTCTGTGAATTAAAGGTGTCAGTCACATACAGCTTTGCTAGTGTGTGTTTTGTTTGAAGACCAGTGTTTTTTAACAATTTTAATTAATGAAAAATATTTGAAAATTTGGGAGATTTCATATCAAAAAGTTTTTTAAAAAAACTTTTTCTTTTTAATCAAAGAGGCGTCAATACTGAGTCTGGATTCTCAGTATCAGACACAGCGTGTGCAGTAGCAGCTGCCTTCATGCATACGTCCAGCAGTCTTACACAGTCTGTACCATTTCCTGTCGTTCCCCTGGGTCATACACTGCTTTATGTTCATGCAACATTAGGTGTTTGTGTTGTGGCCCCTGCCTTACGTTGCTGTGATGATGTTTGTGTAACTTTTCATTAGGGGTATATTTTGATTTTGCCAGAATAAATCAGAAAGAGAGTGGAATAATATAAGTACAATAACTTGAAAGTATTAATAAAATTGGCACCTGAGTTAACAGATTTATCTAAAATGTGGATGAAATGACAGAATAAAGTTACTTGGCAGTAATTTTTTTTCCTGCCTACTCCTTCTCTGTTTTCTGTGTAGGGCATTGGGTAAATCATTAAGTGTGAGATCTTTAGGGAGAGGCAGCACTCCTTGTACTATGACTGCTGAACAAAGATTCTGTGTATGTGAACTTTACTGTTGTTCTCTTCACAGGTCACATCAATAATCTTTATAATACAGTTTACTGGACACTTATACAACAATCTGGATTAACACCCGAACAAGCCCAGGAGAGATTAAAGGTATACAGATTTTACTGCATAGCTGGGACAGTTCGCTGTCGTGTCTCTCTGAACATTTTTTTAATGTTCCCTTTATGTTCATCTTTAGCTCCCTTTACAGCTTCATTTTGAAAAGATACAGAATTGTAAGGGTAGCTGCTCTGCTGCTTCTTGCTTTGCAAGCCTGGGTGAGTTACTACTGCTCCCCCAGCGTCAGTATCCTCGGCTGACACCGGCTCTGCATTCCCACCTGCTGACGCTTGGCTGCAGCTGTGTCTCGAGTGTCCTCTTTACGCAGGGCGTGAGCTCTTCCTTGCCACTTTAGGTCTCTGTCCTTTTTCTCAGGTTTAGAACGCCTGTGTATATTAAAAGTCCATGCTCTTTGTGGGGGTCAGGTGACAATACTTGAATCACGCATCTGTTTAATTTTTTCACTCACTGCCTTGGCTCTTTATAAGTAAAATGTAGAAAGTAATAGTTCCTACCTTATAGGTTTGTGGGGAGAATTTAATGGCCTGATGCATGTGAAACACAGAAGTAGAAGGCACTGTAAGTGCTCAGTAACTACTGGTGTTTCTTAGTAGATAACACGCTGCTTGTGGGGTGACTCTGAAGTGAGGTAACATGTAATAAACGGCTCCTAGTACACCACCTGGTCAGTCAGTGATTGCTGGTATTAGTGGTACTAAGGATGGAGACACATACAGCAACAACTGGAATACCAGTAGATACCTCCAGTTTGGAAAAGCCCAAGTTTATACTTCGCTTCTTAGTAGAAGAATAAAAATAGCCTTCATCCTTGGGCATTTTGTGTAATCTTCCTAAGCTTCAATTTTCTCACCTTTAAAATGGAGACAGTATAATGATAAAATAAGAAAAATGAATGTAAAGTTTATGTGCATACGAGATATCTAATTACTATTCCTTCAACCTCCTCACAGCTTTAACTTACACAGCCAACGATTGCTACAGAAGAGAGTTTTGCAAATGTGAATATCAAAATAAGAGTCAAGTTGTACTTGAAATGAAAATGCACTGGTGTGAGATGTTGGGTAGCACCCTTCTGCTTCTTGATTTGTTCCTCAACGTCTAGGTAGTATGTCACACCGCACTGTCACACAAAGCTTTTTATATCTGTTGCTGTTTCCGCAGGGAACTCTGGCAGCGGACAAGAATGAGATTTTGTTTTCTCAATTCAATATCAACTACAACAACGAGCCGCTGATGTACAGGAAAGGAACTGTGTTGATTTGGCAGAAGGTAATCCTGTTACGTTCAAAGAAAAGTGGGGCTCAGGCCGGGAGGGACAGCCTGGGGCCAGTCCAGGCTTTGCCTGCCCGCTGATAGGACTCAGGTTGCTAACCTGAGCTCAATCCTTTCCAAAGGGTTAGTTTGGATGCTCACTTTGTCAGTCAGTTAGTTGTAGGCTAGAATTTCCCATTGTGTAGATGTGAGGCAATTTTAAATCAGCACACTTACTTTTTTCTGTGTGATAAGCTCTCACCATATCCAGTATATGCTTTTTTAAACCGTTAGAGATATAAGGATTTTTGCATTCATAGAACATTTTAAAATACTTCCACCCACACTGGAGAATATCATTAAATGTTTCGTCTATCCATGACAGCTATATCAGGAAGCACTAAGAGATGTTCTGTGTGAGGGTTTTGTCACTTTCCAAAGAGTCTCCATTCACATTTACCTTAATATTCTGTGATGAGCCTGTGCATTTACTTAAATCCTTTTTTTTGTCTTTTTGAGACAGGGTCTTGCTACGCAGTTCAGGCTGGCCTTGAGCTCACTTTGTAGCCCAGGCTGGCCTCGAATTTGCAATGATCCTCCTGCCTCAGCTTCCCAAGTGCTGGGATTATAGGCGTGTGCCACCACGCCTGGCTCTAAATCCTTAATTCTACCAAAATTTTCTCTCTCATCAGCTCGTTTTATTTTTCTAAATTCATTCCCTTCTATATTAAATGTTTTTTTCTGAAATGAATGTGTGCGAGTACGGAGGGGTATGCTGAGAGCTAGTCATTGCACTGGGAACTTCAGCTCTCACTAATAAGTATTTTCTTTTTTTTGTTTTTTTTTTGGTTTTTTTCCGGTACCAGGAATCGAACTCACGACCTTGTGCTTGCCAGGCAGGCGCTGTGCCGCTGAGCTAAATCCCAGCCCCCTAATAAGTATCTTCAAAGCACATCTGTTCTTTGGCACAGACTTGACATTTGTTAATACAGGCGGGAGAAGAGAAATACTTTGAACTCTATAGTCATTGCTAAGGAGGAACATAAAATCCCGTTTTTGTTCCCAAGATCACTTTTCTCTTCTTTTTTGAGGGAGGGCCTTGCTAGATCATGAAGTTGCTTGGGCTACTTTCAATCCACCTGTCTCAGCCTCCCAGAGTACTGGGATGACAGGCATGCACCACCGTGCCTGGCTCCAAGATCACTTTTCAAACGATAGTAACGTAACCTTCTTTAGCGTGCTTGTGATCGCAAAGAGGTTGGTGTATGTTGAAAATCTGGCAGTCAGGAGTAGGTAAAAGCAAGCTTCCCCCACATCTTCTCCTTTTCTCTGAAACCCACTGACAAGTTAACAGTGTCACCACTCTTACCTGTAGGTGGAAGAAGTCACGACAAAAGAAGTTAAGCTGCCGGCAGAACTGGAAGGAAAAAAGATGGCAGTGACCCGGACCAGGACTAAGCCAGTGCCTCTGCACTGTGATATCATTGGCGATGCTTTCTGGAAAGAACACCCGGAGATCCTCGATGAAAACAGCTGACCTTTCACTCTCATGGCGGCATGCTTATATGCAAGGTCCCCCAGGTCTCTGTTTTTCCGTGACCCTAGCATTCCTGCAGTCCAGAGCGCTGTGCCAGGGGCGACCTGACCTGAGATGGGAGGGAATGGACAGGGCAATGCCTTTTGTTCTGCTTGAGCAGAACCCCCTTTTTTGTGATGTTAAAACATGACTTCTTTGGTTTTTTTTCTTTTTAATCGTGGTACTATTTTTATAAAGCAAGAACTATGTCGTGCCTCGCAGGATGAATCATTTTTAGATTGTGACATAAGTCTTATAAAAACCTGTCAGCTCTTTTCATCTATGATAGAAGAGGAGCCCAAACTTTACTCTCTCCCGCCTGCTCTTTGCTAGAGAACCTAGCGATTTTTAAAAATCTCATGCCCGCCACCCACGTGCTTGCCTTCACCTTTGGCAGACCCAAAGATAAATATGGGCTCCCTCTTGTATGATGCCTCTGAATTCACAAATTCCAGGGTAAGACCCTGACCTTGGTGTCAGTCTCCAAGTTTCCAACTTTGGCTAAACAAAGGAGTAGTGGTTTGGCTATCCTTTGTGTACACCCCCCATGTGTTGCTGTTACAGAATTTTCAGCATGATAATGTTATCTTCTTGCCAGGGCCAGAGTTTGCAAAGGGAAAGCCAGAGGTGGATGTCTGTGTGCGAGAAAGATGTGTGAGAATGAATGGATGAGGATGAAGACACAGTTACTCCGTGTCCTCTTTGGTACTTGTTTTAAAAGCTCTCTTCTTTTGGACTTTGTGAAACAGATTCTTAAGTAGCCTATATAAAATCAGAACAATGAAATTCAAATTCAAGAGCAGAGGGGTCAGATGCCCCTTGGTCTCGCGCAGCAGATGTCGGTGGAGTCAGTAGTTCCACATGCCTGTAGGCCAGTGCAGATGGGAGAGGAACGGCAGAGCACAGCAGTGTTAAGTGTTAATCTCATGTTACTGGGCTGTTGGACTCTGAAGTGGGAGGTCATGGGTTTGTGGTGAGATAACTCCCATTTCCGTCTGTCCTCCTTTCATATTTTAAAGGAAAAAGATTATTTGGTTCTATTAAGAATCACTTAAGAGACAGCCCACGTCCCAGTGCCTGGTCTTGCAATGCAAAATTTATAGCCAAGAAGAAAATGTATTTTTTCAAAGAGCATCGGCTGGCCTCATCCTTTACTAATTGACACCCCATCTGTTGATGCCGTTTTTTTTCCTTCCTGTTTTCCCTCCACTCCACAGGAAGAGGAGATACAGCGTGGGTTTGGTAATTGCTAAGATCTCTTTGAGAAAAAAATAAGGACTTTGACTCCTTGGGCCTACTTACTTATTTCATAATACAAATCTGACTTCTCTGTCTGTCTTTGGGTGAGCCAAGACATACACCCTCATCACCATACGTTGACACACTTACAGACGGAAAAACAGTTACTTGGAATCTGTATGTTAAATGCCCATTTAAGGCTCCCTGAGTATTTGGGGCTCAGCAGTTTGATGTTTCACCCCAGAGGCTTTGGGCTTTTGATGCATATGGCTGATACCCTGTAACTCTGAGCAAGCAGAATACTGATAGGCAGGATGAGCAGTAAAATCATGTAGCTCTTGATTGGCAAATTTCACTTAATGGTAAATTGATAGCACTTTATGTCAAATATGTACGGGCAAGCAGGCATTAAACTACCAAGTTTCAGGACAAATCCACCCAGAGAAAATGTGTGCTTTCTCTGGGTCTCAGGAGACACATAAGCTCATCGTTCGATTTGTCATATGATAGGTTGAGGACTCATCCGCTTAATTTGAGGTGGTTCTGCAGCTTTCAGTTTTGTTCAGGCAGTGCGTTTTAAACAGAGTAATAAACCGTGTTTAATACCAAGGCCATAAGGAAACTAGTACATTACCTAGAAGTTGCTGCTTGGTGGTTTTTATTTTATCTTTGTGGAAATATGTATTCATTCCCATGCGTAATTCACTGTTGCATATTAATTTTTATCTTGCTTGCTGAGGTACTCTATAGTATTCTCTTGGTGTTCTTTTCCAAATCTTAACTCTATAGTATTCTCTTGGTGTTCTTTTCCAAATCTTAAGGAAACAAATACACAAAAACCAACCAGTGGAGTTCATACTGATTGACACTTGGGAGAGCAGCGGCAATTAGGAAATTGATTTCCGTGGTTTGTAAGTGACTGGGAACATCTTGGCCCTAATGGATAAGGAAGTAAAACCTTATCTAGAAGATACTCATTTTAACATCAAAATACAAGTTCTTTGCTGAACTGAGGCTACACAGTAAAACCTGGAACAGATCGGATCTTGTGAATCCTCAGCTCTTCCAGTGCTTTACCAACTCAGCTCAGCAAATAGCAATAAAATGATTTTTCCTTGACGCTAAGGTCTCTCCACCGTTAGTGCAAATGTCTTTATTCATAGGTAAAGGAAATGAGGTTGCTGCGGAAAAGCCCCGACAGGCTAAATAGCGTGGGCCCAGGAAGGCTACGCCCACCTCTCCCCCGCAGTACTCAGGATGAGAGCAAGTCGCGCGCCCCTTGCCCCTCTCCTGCCCCTTCCCTCCAGGTCAAGCCTGGAGTAGGGTGCAGTGGCAGCGTGTTAACAGACACCCCAAGTGATAACAGTACGGACGGGAAACGCTGCAGAGTAAGCACCTGTCCCGGGTCCCAGCCACGCGTCACACCCCCTGGCGGGCGCCGAGCGCGGGCTGATGCTGCCCCCCGG